TTTTTTTTTTTTTTTTTTTTTTTTTTTTTTTTTAAGAGAGCTTTTTTGGGGGCCAGCAGGTGGTATGGTGGTCAAGGATGCAGGATTCCTACATGGCCAACCACAGTTTGAGTCCTGGACCCAGTGACTTGCTTTCTCACTTTTTCTCCCCCCTCTCTTTCTCTCTTTCTCTCTTTCTCTGTTCTTCTTTGGTCAAATTAAAATAAAGCAAAAATAAAATTAAATAATTCTTAAAAATAGAAAAAAAAAAGCTTTTAAGGGTGCATGGTCTCACTGGAGAGACAGAGAGAGAGAGAAAGTGAGAAATCACTCGCCCGGGGGGAAATGGCCATGCTCTAATCCTTTCTCCATTCTCTTCTTGGGATTTGGACGTGGTGTCGTGGTGTGTTTCAAGCTGCCGGGTCCAGGACTTGAACCGTGGTCAGAATCCACACCATGGGAGCATGTAGGAATCCGGCACTTTAACCATAACCACTACACCATCTGCTGGCCCCCAGTATTAAATTCTTTAAATATGTGGACTAGATGTCATTTTCCCCTTGTAAAATTTGGATAGTATTTTTTTTCTTTTTAATTCTTTCTCTTTTTTTTTTTTTTGAGAGGTTTTTGCTATAGGGCACATGCACTTGCCAGAAAGACAGAGAGAGACAGAGAGAGAGAAAGTGAGAAATCACCCCCGAGGAGGGATGGCCATGCCAGTCCCTTTTCCTCCATTCTCTTCTCAGGATCTTGGGCATGCATGCACATGCACCTGGTGTGATTTCAAGCCTTCGTGTCTGGGACTCAAACCACGGTCGACTAAATGGGAGTCCAGCAGCATAGCCATTACGCCAACTGCTGGTCCCTTTGTAATTCTTCTCTTTCTTTCTTTTCTTTTCTTTTTTTTGGGGGGGGGGTAATTCTTTTCAATCCTTCTTGTAGATTACTTATTTTTAAGAAGTTAGAGGGGACCAGCAGGTGGCATAGTGGTTAAGGTGCTGGACACTCCTGTATGGCTGACCATGGTTTGAGTCCTGAACTTGGCAGCTTGCTTTCTCACTTTCTCTGTTTCTCTCTGGTCAAATTAAAATAAATGAATGAATAAATAAAATTAAATAAATAAAATCTAAAATAAAGAAGTTAGAAAAATAGTTAAGGTTCTCAATAGCATAATCTCATTTAGTTTTATGTAAAGAAACTTCCTAGCTGTAGCTATAGGTTTTGTATACTACTTCTTTACTTCACTTATTGGGTTGTTGGGAAAGTTATGATGCATTTTGCATAAAAAAACATTGGAAAATACACTATATTAGAAACTATCATAAGCCATGATATAAATGAATAGTATGTTTCAGAAGTTTTTATGTTGCCTCCCTAGATATTAGAAAGTAAAGTAGAATTTTAACCATGAATATTAAAATGTAAGGTAGGGCAACAAGCATTAATTTTAAATTATCCTCCTATGTTACATTTTTTTTTATTAGAACAAATGATATATTTCTAAATGTCTCCTGATGTGATCTTTGCATATTCCCAATTTATTATAGTACAGAGAAAATTTGTTATATAAAGCATTAGTGTTAAAAAGAAGGGGCATGTTTTGAAGCATAAATAATAATGCTGTAAATAGCATGTGTGTTCAATAGCTTTGAGAACTCATTCTCTGCTGAAGAACACTGGAGAATCTGCTGATTCTCTTACATAGCTCTTCTGGTGCTAGGAGAAAGTATTCATTGAGACTTTCTTCCCCTTCAGTGAAAGCGTGTTATAAACTTGGGAGGAATCATACTAGAAATTATTTAATTAATTTGCTCTATTTTATAGCCCTGCTTCCGAGAATTTGGGACTTTATCAGAGCCATGTAGAACCATCATGTGGTACTCAAGCAGATGAAAAGAACCAGTGTTTTTTCTATACTATATTAACATGAAAGATTCTCATCCAGTAATTTCCAGAGTTTCTTTTAGAAGTGGATACCTTTCCTTGCCTCCTTCCCCCCAACAAAATCGTGTACACATACAATCCCAGAAAACAGAGTAGAATAGTAGAGTTCTTTTTAGTGTGTATTTAGGGCAGAGACCTGTCAGGGTGCAGAGTTCTCAACATGGCCTTGTCGTTTTTATAAGCTATTTGGTCATAGTTTGAAAACTACTGTTCTGTTTTCTAAGATGCATATAGTAATAGCTACATTTCACAAATATTTATTGAGAAATCTGTGATTTACACACTGGAGATACAGTGACTTTTATTTTATTTTATTTTTTTTTAAGTCTGTGTCCTATGTAGTTTACAAGCTGCAGTGGGGAAGGAAGTGAACAAAAAAAATAAAGTCATAAAACTTGATACTTTGGAACTTGATCTAGCTCTTATTCTACTACACAACAAACTTGCACAGATGCCCAACTCTTGTGGCCCAAACACAGATTATTCCTGATTCTTCAGGACCCTTAAGTTTTTTTGAGAGTTTTTGCCTTAGGGTGCATGCACTCTCTGAAGAGAGACAGTGAGAGGGAAAGTGAAAAATCACCACCCGGGGAGATGGCCATGTGGCAAGCCCTTCTCTATTCTTCTCTTGAGATTTTGGGCATGCATACATACATACCTAGTGTGATTTTCAAGCCACCAGACCTGGGACTCGAACTGTGGTCACCCACGAGAGTCCAGTGCTGTAACCACTATGCCATCAGCTAACTCACAGGACTCCATTTTGTCTTTGCGAAGTTCACCTGTATTCAGATAGGAACCTTACATCTAAGAACTTTGTAATTAGACCTCTGATAAGGCATTAATACTGGATCATCAGAAAAATCTTGATGCACAGAAAAACACGTGACTTTTCTGATGACCCAATATATATATCAGATTTTTCTCTTGTATTTCTGGTTCTAGTATAGGAAATTCTTGCATCAGATCAGAAAAATCATGCTAGAATTATTTCTGACATGATTCCCAGTGTCTC